CGTGGACTTTTTAATTAATTTTTGTTCAAAGGACTTTACACCGATAACTGTGGATTTTTTATGCAATTTTTTCAAAGGACCTTACACCGACAACCGTGAATTTTTTTAAGATTTTTTTTCAAAGGACCTTATACCGATAACGTGGATTTATTAATTAATATTTTCAAAGGAACTTGGAGCTATAAACGTTGATTTTTTAATTAATATTTTCAAAGGAACTTGGAGCTATAAACGTTGATTTTTTAATTATTTTTTTTTTTCAAAGGACCTTAGACCAAAGAACGTGGATTTTTTAAGAAATTTTTTCTAGGACCTTAGATCGATAAACGTTGATTTTTTAATTAATTTTTTTTTCAAAGGACCTTAGACCGATAAACGTGGATTTTCTAATGAAATTTTTTCAAAAGACCTTATACCGATAACGTGGACTTTTTAATTAATTTTTGTTCAAAGGACTTTACACCGATAACTGTGGATTGTTTATGCAAGTTTTTCAAAGGACCTTACACCGACAACCGTGGATTTTTTTAAGATTTTTTTTCAAAGGACCTTATACCGATAACGTGGATTTTTTAATTAATATTTTCAAAGGAACTTGGAGCTATAAACGTTGATTTTTTAATTTTTTTTTTTTTTCAAAGGACCTTAGACCAAAGAACGTGGATTTTTTAAGAAATTTTTTCGAGGACCTTAGATCGATAAACGTGGATTTTTTATGATTTTTTTCAGAGGACCTTATTTTGATTTTTTATAAAATTTTTTCAAAGGGCCTTACACCGATAAACGTGGATTTTTTAATGAATTATTTTTCGAAGGGCCTTAGAGCTAAAAATGTGGATTTTTTAATGAATTATTTTTCAAGGACCTTAGACAGATAAATTGGATTTTTTAATGAAAGTTTTTTCAAAGGACCTTGAACGTACTTTAAACGTTCATTTTTAAATGCAATTTTTTCAAGGACCTTTAACCGATAAATGTGGATTTTTGAATTAATTTTTTTTTCAAGGACCTTAGACCCATAAATGTGGATGTTTTAATGGATTTTTTTTTTTTCAAATGACCTTAGAGATTTCCACGTTTGTAGGAAATTCTGAACTTTGATATTGAGTTTGCTGTTTTTTGTTTCTAGGGTGTACATATGGAGATATTGAAATAGGTTTGGATAGAAAAATTGGATCCATCCTCCCCGTATAACTTCAGAGTAAAAGAAACGAAAAAAAAAATGAGCAATATTATGGCTCCATCGGACGGTATGGCTCAAGCTGGAATTTTGAAATGCATAATTGTTGATCCGTAGGTTCGAAATGCGATTGGATTTTTGGAATTAGTACTAAAAAGTATTTAAATGTACTAAAAAGTGAAACTTATTCCTTTCGAGCTACGATCTGGAAATTTCAAATTTAAACCACCATTGCTGCGAGTCATGACGTAGTGTTTGGTTTCTAGAAATTTATGCCAAAAATTTATGCCGTAAGCGATAGTATAAAATATTTTACACTGAAAATCTGATCAAAGTTCGGACAAAACGTCTACAACTGAGAATCCTCATATTTTTTACTTGAGTTGAAATTGGTACATAGGTCCTCAGTATGGCTGGATTTTTGGAAACATGTACTAAAAGGTTCTAAAATCATGTATTAAAAGGATAAAATCTTAAAATTCGGCATTTAGATCACCATTAGTGCATGTTATGAGATAAATTATAGTTTTTAGAAATATGTACTAAAAGGTACTGAAAAGTACTAAAAACTAAAATCCTTTCCTTCAGAGGTAGTATCTGAAAAATTGGAATTCAAATAACCATTGGTGCAAGTATACGAATATATTAAAGTTTTTAGAAATTTGTACTAAAAAGTACCTAAAAAAAGTACTAAATATTTTCCACAAAGCTAAAAAATTGTACCAAAAAATTTTCACTGCTTGGACCTCATCAAAGCCCGAATGAAAGGGCTAATGCTAGAATTTTGACATTTTCCACTTGATTTCCGATATGTGCTTTGTTTCGAAATTACGCTGGATTTTTGGAAACATGTACTAAAAGTTAGCGAAATGTACCAATAACTAAAATTTGTCCTTTTAGAGCAGTAATCTTGAAAATTCACATTCAAATCACCATTGGTGCAAGTATAGGAATAAATTATAGTAATAAAAAATTGTACTAAAAAGTAAACATGTACTAAAATGTACCGAATAGTACTGAAAGTTAAAATCCGTTTAATTAATGCTAGAATCTTGAAAATACGAAGCTAGATCACCATTAAAGCATGAATTGGCAAAAATGACACTTTTTTAAAATTGGTACTAAAACGTACTTGAAGGTACTAAAAATTTCACTATTTGAGACTCTTCACTGATCAAAAAAAAAAAACCGCTAAAGCTAGATTCTTAAAATTTTCGACGTGGATTACTATTGGTGCCTGGATCCGAAGTAAGGCTGGATTTTTGGAAACATGTACTAAAAGTTACCGAAAAGTACTAAAAACGAATATCGTTCGTTTAAAACTAGAAACTTGGAAATTCGCATTTAGATCACCATGGGCGCAAGTTATGGGGTAAATTGTAGTTTTTAAAAATTGGTACTAAAATGTACATAAAGGTACTAAACGTTTAAATGTAAGAGCCACATCAAATGCCCCAAAAAAAGGTGAAAACTACATTCTTAAAATTTTCCACGTCTATTACTATTGCAGCTTTTGTCCGGAGTAAGGCTGTACTTTTTTTTGAAACATGTACTAAAAATAACTAATAACTAACATCCATTTTTTTTTAGATTCAGAATATTGAAATTTCCCACCTAGATCATAAATTATAGTTTCTACAAGTTTGTACTAAACCGTACTTAAAGGTACTAAAATATTACTGTTAGAGCTTCATCAAAAAATCCGAAAAAACGCCCAAAGCTATAATCTACAGGGTGAGATAAAAAATGGAAAAAAGTCAAACGCCATAATTTTTACATTTTTTTTTAAATTTTATTGAATGAATGCAAAAAATTTCGGAAATGGGATCACATTTTAGAATAAGTTTAGATTTTTTGGAATTGGTTACCTTTGCCACGAATTATGGCCTTCAAACGGCCAATGAAACCGACACACGCTGCTTGAATGTTACGGGTATTTTGGCCCATTCCCAGCAAAGCGCTTGCTTGAGGAGATCGACACTTTGGTATTTTTTAGGGCTAACCTTGCGCTCCAAAATACTCCAGACACATTAGTCCAACGGATTGGTATCCGGAGAATTTGTTGGCCATTGTGGGCTGGAAATGAAGCGAGGAGCCTCATTTTGTAACCATTCTTGGGTGGCGCGTGCTAAGTGCGATGGCGTGCTGAGTCCTGTTGGAATGTCCAAGGTCTGCGGCCAAAATGTTTGCGTGCCCAAGGCTTTATTTGTACACCCTTCCGAATATTTTCGCGATAATATTTGGCATTTATTCTGATGCCATGGTTAATTAATACGAGCGAAGAGCGACCATCGGCTGTTATGGCGGCCCACACCATCACCATGGCTGGCGCTTGAGTTCTAGTGGCCAACCGAAGTCGGTGCACATTTTCAGCTGACCTCTTTGACAAGTAAACACGAGCGGATCATTTTGTTTGTTTACAAACTGCTGGACAACGAATGTTTTCTCATCGGAGAAAGCCAAATTCGCCAGTTCACCACTTTCGGCCAAGCGAAGCAACTCTTCTTCAGCTCTTTTCAGTCTATTTTATTTCTGTTGCGGTGTAAGTTCGTGCAATTTTTGGAATTTCAATGTCTTTACCCCGAGCTCCATTCATTTTTCAATATTTTCCGAATGGAATAAAGCGACATGTTCAGCTCACGAGCCATTTTTCGGCCACTGCGACGCGGATTTCGATCAAGTCGCTTCTTTACTTTTCGAACCATTTCTGCTGATGTTGCTGTTTTCTTCCGTCCACTTCCTTGACGTCAGGCTACGCTACCAGCCAGTATCACGCTAACAAGCCATGGTACGAGACACAAAATATTTATTTACATTTAAATGCTGGAGTGGAGCCCTAACGATAGCCACTTGTGGTTTTTCTGGCCAAATATAAAGAGATCACACTATCACTCCCGAATTCTATCACGGATAACTTTTTTTTTGTGAAAATTCTCACCAAAATGCTTTTGTACGCTTGTAAACAATATAATGAGCTGTCACTGGAATAATTTTAACAGCTGTCGAACGAGTGGCTTAGAAATGACAGCAGTCTGCAGTTGTTTTTCATCTCATCCTGTAGCTAGACCTCCGTACTTTTGAATATAAATATAATTTTATCCTCAATTCTGGATAAAAATAATTTTTTCCGCAAACGTGGATAATGACTTCAAAAATTGGGTAGGATCTCTAAACAGGACATGAAGTAAAAAATCCTCGAACTCCTCCCATAATTCATTGCAACTTGTTGCATCCATTGCCAAATAAGGCCGCTAAAAAATTCTCATGGAACCAGGCATAAGGAGAACAATTAAAATTCACACAAATCAAATCAAGTCCTCGACAAGGACGGTGGAAACAAAAAAAAAAACGCAAGCCTTAGTCTTATTGCCGCTTGAAACAAATTGCAAAAGGACTCTTTACGCTAATTTCCGTTTGTTCTTTCATTTCGTTGCTGTTTCTGTTTTTGTGGAGTTCTGCGAAAAAAAACACAGAAATTGTAACAATTATTTCAAAGGGTTGTCGGGGAGGAGAGGAGACCGAGAGAGAGAGAGGGAGCACAACAAAAAACATGGCAATAACATCAAAGGCTAAAACAGGCTCATTATCCTTGAAATGCATATTTTCCCAGCATCAAAAAAAAAATAAAAACGAATGATAAGAGTTATGCATAAATTAAATCATTTTTTTTGTTTTATGGTAAAATGCAGAACGAAAAACAGAAAAAGCAACACAAGTGGTCCTCCTGATGCCTGCAAGGACCCTCTACAAATTTAGTTACTCTCTGTACTTACAACACAACAACGACAATTACATTTCATAATAATCGTCGTAATGATAATAATAATGGCCTTAATTACACGACACACACATCGTTCTGCAGATATGTCCAGAGCCATGGCAGATGTGAGGTTATGCGTGTATTCACCCCCATACCAAAACGTTGGCCACAGCTTTGTCCGAAACTGATGAGACCAAGTAGCTGGAAACGTTGTGAACGCATTACCACTGGACCACCTGAGTCATATTGACAGGTATCCTGACCCCTTCCCATAAAATCGTAAGTACAAATATGGGAGCCCTGTATGGTCGTGGTATTGTAACGCTGCTGGCACACCGAATTTTCCACCGTCACCAGTTGGGCCTTTTGCAGAGTATTCGATTTCATGCCGGCAAAGGAGAGTGTGCCCCAACCGGCCACATCAACCTGGATGTAGGCGAAGGGGTCTTGTCTGGAATTGTAGGTGGATATCAAATGTGGAAATTTGGAAGGGGACTTGATGACTTACAGTTGACGCCATGGTAGACATATGGGACCCACACCGCGGGACCATTCTATGGGCACCACTGTAATGAGAATTGAAATATCATTTTGTGTGGAACTGGGCGTGGCAGCATAGTTGGGATGATTGATAATGCGTTGAATGCGATACTGGGCCTCAAAGCGGGTTTCACCGGCTGGGAAGGAAAAAAAATTAAAAAACAGAGGATAAATTTATCCGAAACAATTTAAAAATATTGGAAAATAAATTAAAATTGGATAAAATTATCCGCAATGGTGGATGAAATTATCCATCTTTGCGGATTGGATAATTTATTCACCAATGCGGATAAATTATCCACATTAGCGGATAAAATTATCCAAATTAGAAGATAAAATTATCCACATTGGTGGATAAAACTATCCACAACGATGGATAAAATTATCCAATGGCGGATAAAATTATCCGCAATGGTGTATAAAATTATCCGTATTGGTGGAGAAAATTATCCACATTAGCGGATAAAATTATCCACATTGGGGGATAAAATTATCCACAATGGTGGATAAAATTATCCACATTCGTGGATAAAATTATCCAAATGAGTGGATAAAATTATCCACAATGGTGGATAAAATTATCCGCATTGGTGGATAAAATTATGCGCATTGGTGGATACAATTATCCACATTGGTGGATAAAATTATCCACAATGGTGGACAAAATTATCCGCAATGGAGGATAAAATTATCCACAATGGTGGATAAAATTATCCACATTCGTGGATAAAATTATCCACATTCGTGGATAAAATTATCCACATTAGTGGATAAAATTATCCACTTTGGTGGATAAAATTATCCACATTAGAGGATAAAATTATCCGCATTGGTGGATAAAATTATTCACTTTTGTGGATAAATTTATCCACATAGGTGGATAACATTATCCACATTAGCGGATAAAATTATCCACAATGGTGGATAAAATTATCCAAAATGGTGGATAAAATTATCCAAAATGGTGGATAAAATTATCCACAATGGTAGATAAAATTATCCACTTTGGTGGATAAAATTATCCGCAATGGTAGATAAAATTATCCGCATTGGTGGATAAAATTATCCACAATGGTGGATAAAATTATCCACTTTGGTGGATAACATTATCCCGTTGGTGGATAAAATTATCCACATTGGTGGATAAAATTATCCACAAAGGTGGATAAAATTATCCGCAATGGTGGATGAAATTATCAGCACATAAGTGGATAATTATCCACATAAGCGGATAAAATTATCCACATTAGCGGATAAAATTATCCACATTGGTAGATAAAATTATCCACATTAGCGGATAAAGTTATCCACATAAGTGGATAAAATTATCCGCATTGGTGGATAAAATTATCCACATAGTTGGATAAAATTATCCACATTAGCGGATAAAATTATCCACATTGGTGGATAAAATTATCCACAATGGTGGATAAAATTATCCACATTCGTGGATAAAATTATCCACATTCGTGGATAAAATTATCCACATTAGTGGATAAAATTATCCACTTTGGTGGATAAAATTATCCACATTAGAGGATAAAATTATCCGCATTGGTGGATAAAATTATTCACTTTTGTGGATAAATTTATCCACATAGGTGGATAACATTATCCACATTAGCGGATAAAATTATCCACAATGGTGGATAAAATTATCCAAAATGGTGGATAAAATTATCCAAAATGGTGGATAAAATTATCCACAATGGTAGATAAAATTATCCACTTTGGTGGATAAAATTATCCGCAATGGTAGATAAAATTATCCGCATTGGTGGATAAAATTATCCACAATGGTGGATAAAATTATCCACTTTGGTGGATAACATTATCCCGTTGGTGGATAAAATTATCCACATTGGTGGATAAAATTATCCACAAAGGTGGATAAAATTATCCGCAATGGTGGATGAAATTATCAGCACATAAGTGGATAATTATCCACATAAGCGGATAAAATTATCCACATTAGCGGATAAAATTATCCACATTGGTAGATAAAATTATCCACATTAGCGGATAAAGTTATCCACATAAGTGGATAAAATTATCCGCAACGTTGGATAAAATTATCCGCATTGGTGGATAAAATTATCCACATAGTTGGATAAAATTATCCACATTAGCGGATAAAATTATCCACATTGGTGGATAAAATTATAGCCAATGGTGGATAAAATTATCCTCATTAGCAGATAAAATTATCCACCTTGGTGGATAAAATTATCCACATAGGCGGATAAAATTTTCCACATTAGAGGATAAAATTATCCACATTGGTGGATAAAATTATCCGCATTGGTGGATAAAATTATCCACATTAGCGGATAAAATTATCCGCAATGGTGGATAATATTATCCGCAGTGGTGGATAAAATCATCCGCATTGGTGGATAAAATTATCGGCATTGGTGGATAAAATTATCCACTTTGGTGGATAAAATTATCCATGTTGGTGGATAAAATTATCCGCATTGGTGGATAAAATTATCCACATTAGCGGATAAAATTATCCGCAATGGTGGATAGTATTATCCGCAATGGTGGATAAAATCATCCGCATTGGTGGATAAAATTATCCGCATTGGTGGATAAAATTCTCCACATAAGTGCATAAAATTATCCACTTTGGTGGATAAAATTATCCACAATGGTGGATAATATTTTTTACATTGGTGGATAAAATTATCCACCTTGGTGGATAAAATTATCCACAATGCTGGATAAAATTATCCACAAAAGTGGATAACATTATCCGCAATAGTGGATAAAATTATCCGCAGTAGTGGATAAATTTTTCCACATTTGTGGATAATATTATCCTTATCTATTATCCTCGTTAATTTTATCCCTATGACCTTATTTGGTACTCACCCACCACCAAATTGTGATCTCCCACATAGGCCATTATCCTGCTGGCATCCGGATGCATGCGCATACAATGGGCCGCCGTCAAGATGTGGCGATGACTTACTATCAAAAATTTCCAAATTTATTATTTTCTTATCTAAATTTTTAACCCCCAACCTACCTATGCTACCCCCACAAAATATCGGCTGTGGTGAGGAGATGTCTCTCAACGCCACCATAGAGGGGAATTCATGTTTCATCGTTTCAACGCCATTTGTTATTCTAGTACTGGCAGTCCAGCCACAGGAGCAGGCTTGACGTCGGGCAAAAGCTTGGCACGCAAAGCGTCCCCGTTGCATAGAATTGGGTCTCACCGAAGCATAGGCCAAAACCATCGAACGAAAGTCGGAAATGCGACTCAGGCGATTTGTCAGGCAGAAGCGCTCTCCATCACCCAGCTGGAAATCGCCATCCAGGGATATTATGAAATAATCATTGTCACACCTATTGGGGGTCTGTGGGAAGGATATAAAAATTGAAATTATTTTTTAAATAACAAAATGATTTATATTGTTCTCACCACTTCAAAACCGCAATTCACCACCACCACATGATCCATGGGTGCCGTAATGCGATAACGACAATTGCTGCCCAATGGATAGGGATAGTTCCTGGAAGTTATATTCAAAACTTGGCGATCATTTTGCAAACGATATTCAATTGAACACTGCTGTTGGGCCAAGGAAATCTGGCAGTAGAATAAAATCACCACACCTAGCTGGATAAAAAATGTAACCGACATACTACTCGTTGTTGTCGAATAATTGGCAAAACTGACATCACTAACCCAGAAGTGAGGAGAATTTAAAGACTTTTGATGTTCATTATTTATTTTTTCTGGTTAAATCGCAAGAGATAAGCATGTTGACAGTTGAATAAATTGCTGAATATTTAAAGAAGGTGCTCCATTTAGTAGATCCATGGGAATGCGTGACCTTGTTAAGATAATTAAAAAAATGAAGTAGCTGTGGCGAAGTGGTTTGGTTTATTAATTAAATTAATTTAATTTGTCCTCCAGAACGCAAGGATGGCTTCAAAAAATATTCAAAATGGATATTTTCAGTTTATATTTAATTGTAGTTTCCAAATCATTAAATTTTGGGGTGTGGTGAATTTCATCATGTAGTGGTGAATTTCATAATATTGCTTAAAACCCATAACTATGTCATTTTTATGTTAAATGTTACGTGTATTAGCTATTTTTAAACTGTGGTGAGTTTAAAAATTGGAGGTGAGTTTCGAAAATGACATTTAAATTTAATTTTTGCCGAATTTGGTTTTCTCCGATGAGAAAACATTCGTTGTCGAGCAGTTTGTAAACAAAAAAAAAAAGATCGTGTTTACTTGCCAAAGAGGTCAGCTGAAAATGTGAACCTTCGGTTGGCCACCAGAATTTCAATTCGCTTTAAAAAAAATAGAAAAAATTAATGAAAAATTTAGAAATAACAGAGCAAGAGTTACATGAATCGTTCAACTCTTTGTTTTTGACATTTTTTTCGTTGCTACAGCATTTTTTATTGCCAAAAATTTGAGGAGGGAAAGAAAGCTAAGTTGAGGGTGAAACTGTCCGTAAAGCTGTTGTTTGGAATTAGTATGGGCTAGACAGTTGGGGATGTAAGAGCAAGTGATATGAAAATGTTTGGAAAATTCAGCATTTTAGGCCTTTAGAAAGACTCAAAATATTCTTTAAAAAATCTACATTTGAAGACCTCGTAGAAGGCTCCAAAAAATTAAAAAAACCCACGTTTGAAGGCGTTTAGAAAACCATTAAAAATTGATTAAAAATAACTTTAGGTACTTGGAAAGTCTCCAAGAATAATTTTAACATCCACGTCTGAAGTTTTTTGGAATGACTTTAACAATTCTTCAAAAAATCCACGTTTGGGATTTCGTCTTTATGTAGCCTCCAAAAATTCTATAAAAAATGCACGTTCGGAGGCTTTTAGGTAGCCTCCAAAAATTCTTTAAAAAATCCACGTTTGAAAGATTTCAAAAATTCTATGAAAAAATCCACGTTTGAAGGATTTCAAAAATTCTTTAAAAATCCACGCCTGAAGGCCTTCCGATAGCCTCCAATATTTTTTTTTAAATTCACCCCTGAAAGCCTTAAGGTAACCTGTTTTGTTTTTAAATCCAACACTGAAGGCCTCCAAACATTTTTAAAAAATCTTCGTTTGAAGGCCTTAATGTTGCCTCCAAATATTCCAAGCCTTTAGGTTGCCTCCGAAAGATTTTCAAAAAAAAAAAAAAATCCAAGAATTCTCTGAAAAATCCACGTTTGAAGGACTCTAGGTTGCCTCCAAAAATTCTTTAAAAATCCACGTTTGCCAAAAGATCTTAAAGAGGCCGCCAAAAACTATTTATTACATAACAGCCGATGGTCGCTCTCCGCTCGTATTAATCGACCGTGACATCAGAATAAATGCCGAATATTTTCGCGAAAATATTCTGAAGGGTGTATTAAAGCCTTGGCCGGAGACCTTGGACATTCCAACAGGACTCAGCACGCGCCAACCAAGAGTGGTTACAAAATGAGGTTCTCGCTTCATTTCCAGCGCACAATGGCCACCAAAATCTCCGGATACCAATCCGTTGCACTATAGTGTTTGCAGTATTTTGGAAAGCAAGGTTGGCACTGTGAAATACCAAAGTGTCGATCACCTCAAGCAGGCGCTTCGCCGGGAATGGGCCAAAATACCGCAGAACAACATTCGGGCAGCGTGTGATGGTTCCATTGGCCGTTTGAAGGCCAAAGACCATTCGAACAACTCGAAACTTATTCCAAAATTTGATGCTATTTCCGACATTTTTTGTTTTCATTCAATAAAATTTAAAAAAAATATGTAAAAATTATGGCGTTTGACTTTGTTGCAATTTTTTTTATTTCACCCTGTATGTTTCTGAGTGTTTAACAACCATGGAAATTGGCCCAGACCTCTTCGTGTGCCATTTTCAAGGAGTTAGGGTCTCAAAGACATTTAATTTCCAAAAGTTTTGGGTTCTAAAGCAAATTTAATGTCTCTGGGATGTATTTTTAAGGTGTGGTGAATTTCTATAAAGTGTGGTGAATTTCTCAAAAATGCTGAAAATGAAACCCACAGCTTTTAAAATCATCAAGAATCATGTCAAAAATGGGGTTTTGCTTTTTTTGTCCGCATTCCCAGCTTCTTTAAACCCCCTTCCTTGGAAAATCTCACATTTTTTAAGCATCTAAATATATTATTATTTTATTTAACAATTGTATACTGTTTTGTTTTTAATTTTTTTTCATAAAATATATAAGTTAAGTCTTTACTTATGTTTCGGAATGTTGTAATAACCATGAAAATTGGCCCAGACCTTTCCTTGGGCCATTTTCAAGGAGTTAGGGCCTTGGAAACATTTTATTTCGACCAGTTTTGAGTTGTAAAGCAAATTTAATGTCTCTGGGATATATTTTAAGGGTGTGGTGAATTTCTATTAAGTGTGGTGAATTTCTCAAAAATGCTGAAAATGAAACAAATAGCTTTAAAAATCATTTGAAATCATGACTTAAGTGGCTATTTGAGTTTTAGTTCACTTTCCAAGCAACTTTAAATCCCCCTCCTGGGAAAAACACATTTTTAGCATCTAAATAAATTATAAGTTTATTTAACAATCGTATACTGTTTTGTAACATTTTTTTAACAATTTTCCTTTTCAATTTCTATTAACTCACAACACATGACGAATATCCAGTACTTTGATATATCCATGTCAAATACGATGAGATACGTGTATTAACACCCGTTGCATAGCCTCCTTGGCCACAGAATTTACCAAAACTAATGCAACCCAAAATATATTGTCTTAAAGTGCGTCTTATGACCGGTCCACCGGAATCATATTGGCACGAATCACGACTAGTGCCGGTATAATCATAGGTACAAATTTGCGATGGATAGATGGTGGTATCGTTATATGTCTTGGCACACGACTCGTTATCGGTTATGATGACCGTGGTCTTTTGCAAGGTATCCGAATAGGCACCGGCAAACGAGGTGGTACCCCAGCCAACCAAATCCACATAGGTGTAGGTGAAATCGTTTTCCCTGTAGGAAAAAAAAATTATTAGATTTTAAAAATAAAATTATTTTCCCCCCCCGAAACTTACATTGGCGGTGGCAGGCACATGGGTCCCACTCCCCTCGACCACTCTATGGCTGTGGTTGTTCTCAGCAAAGAAATATCATTAATCATGGTGGGTCTACTGGTATAGCCAGGATGTTGAATGATTTGGGCCACATAGTAGTTCACGGCATACTTGGTTTCCGTGGCTAAATAGAAACGTTCTCTGAAATCTCTGTAAAATATATTTGAATATATATCTCTTACAAATTGCCAAATTGTGATCGCCAGCCTTAATAATATAACTTGCGGGATTGGGCACCAATTCTGTACAATGGGCCGCCGTCAGCAGATAATAATGGGAAACTAAAAATAAATCCAATTTTTTAAAACATTTCTAAAATTTCTCTCTTCAATCTCATACTTATGGTTGCCGAACAGAAAGGTGGAGCTGCTTCGCTGGTCTTAAGGGCCACAACACCGGGATACTCATTGATACCCGTCTCCTGGCCATTGACAATTTTCGTATTTACCGACCAGCCACAATCGCATGGTTGGGGTGCCGCATGCAGCTGACAACGGAAACTACCCCATGAACCACCTGAGGTATAGGCAAATACCACCGAACGGAAGAGAGATTTACGCTGGATTACACCTTTACCACAAAATTGTTCTGAGCCACGTAGATATTCGTCACCATCCACGGCCACATAGAAATACTCTGTGCTGCAGGCATTGCTGCCCTGTCAAGGTGAAATGGGAAGAGATGTGAAAAAAAAAATTAAAAAACGGGAAAACGAAACGGGATGATGTTTTTCAAAATACAAAAAAAAAAAAAAGGAGAATGTTAGACAAAATTGAAATAATTTTGAAAATTCTAAATCTTAAAAAAATGGAAAATTTGATATAGTTTTAAAAATTTTAAATCTTAAAAAATGGAAAATCGAAAACTATAAATATCGAAAATATGTCATTTGAAAGGATCTGGTAAGGCCCAATCATTTTATTTTTGTAATTTTTAGGTTATAAACCCCATAAAATGTGAAATTTTGAAATTTCGAAGGTGTGGTGAGTTTCCCAAAAGTGTGGTGAATTTCTCAAAAATGCTTAAAATCGTATGAGTGATAATTATAAAGGTTAAAAATGTAGCGGCGAGGTGAATATAGTTTTTTTGGTTGAAAAAAAGCCATGTAGACTCAACTAGAGACGTCCAAAAATTTTATTTCGACTAGTTTTAGGTTGTAGAGCGAAAATTCTATCTTCTGGACAAAATTTTGAGGTGTGGTGAATTTCTTATAAGTGTGGTGAATTTCTCAAAAATGTCAGAAATCGCATAAAGGAGGTATTTTGATTAGTACAAGCTGTGTATTAAGTGTTTGCTAAATAATTGGGGCTTCTTAAAGGTCCCAAAGTCGTAAAGGTGGGGTATTTTAATCATTTAAAGGGGTGTGGTCGCTTTCGGGCTATATTAATCATCTATTTTTAATATTATTTTATAAATAGGGGAAGAAATAAGATGCGATTACTGAATACAAAGCATTCAAAGGAATTCATTTAACTCAAGGGGTCCCGAATGAGTTCAAATTCAAATTAACACCTGAAACAATAAAATTCAACTCAGAAATATTGAAAATATGTAATTTTAAAATATCTGAAAGGCCTAGGTCTTTTATTTTTACAAATTTTTTTGCTTTAAATTATATGTTAGATTTATATTATGTGAGATTTCGAAGTTGTGGGGAGCTCCGAGGAAGTGTGCTAAATGTTTAGAACGAACTGTTAAAAATGGTATGGGTTATATTTATAGAAGTTTGAGGTGAATATATGATTATTTGCGGTACAAAAGCCTCACAGACTAATTCAGAGCTGTCGAAAATTTTTATTTCGTCTAGTTTTGAATTGTAGAGCAAATATAGCACGTATGGGAACATTTTTTGAGGTGTGGTGAATTTCTATAAAGTGTGGTGAATTTCTTAAAAATGACGAAAATCGTATATAGAAGACATTCTGAACGCTACAAACTCTATTTTAAGTGGGTGCTACATTTTTGGGCCATGTTTCAGGTCGAGGAGTTATACTACACGAATCACTACTGAGTGTTTGAATTATTGATAAATATTTTAGAGGAGGAATTTGGTTTCAAGACCAAATTTAGATAATTATTTTTTAATATTTAAACCAAACCCAAATTTTAAAAATTGGATGAGTACCTCCTGGGGAGACTCAGTATGTAAACAAATGTGCATTTTTTACAAATATTTTTTTCGATATTCCAACATACGTGGATTTTTTTAAAATATATTTTTTCAATATTTTAAGAGTCGTGGATTTTATATAATTTTTTTTTTTTGAATATTTTAAGAGTCATGAATTTAAAAAAAATATTTTTTCAACATTCCGACAGACTTGGATTTAAAACAAAAACTATTTTTTTTTTCAATATTCCAACAGACGTGGATTTAAAAAAAATATATTTTTGCAATATTCCAACAGACGTGGATTTTTAAAAAAATATTTTTTCACTATTCCAACAGACGTGGATTTTTTAAAAAATATTTTTTCAATATTCCAACAGACGTGGATTTTTTAAAAAATATTTTTTCAATATTCCGAAAGACGTGAAATTTTTAAAAAATATTTTTTTTTATATTCCAACAGACGTGAAATTTTTAAAAAATATTTTTTCAATATTCTAACAGATGTGGATCTTTTAAAAATATTTTTCAAAATTCCAACAGACGTGGATCTTTTAAAAATATTTTTTCAAAATTCCAACAGACGTGGATTTTTTAAAAAAAAATATATTTTTTCAATATTCCAACAGACGTGGATTTTTTAAAAAAATTATTTTTCATACATCCACTAAAAGTGGATTTTTTAAAAATAAATATAATTTTTTATACATCCAACAGACGTGGATTTTTTAAAAAAAATATTTTTTCAATATTCCAACAGACGTGGATTTTTTAAAAAAATTATTTTTCATACATCCACTAAAAGTGGATTTTTTAAAAATAAATATAATTTTTTATACATCCAACAGACGTGGATTTTTTAAAAAAAATATTTTTTCAATATTCCAACAGACGTGGATTTTTTAAAAAATATTTTTTCAATATTCCAACAGAAGTGGATTTTTTAAAAAATATTTTTTCAATATTCCAACAGACGTGGATTTTTTAAAAAATAATTTTTCATACATCCAATAGTCGTGGATTTTTTTAAAAAATATTTTTTCAATATTCCAACAGACGTGGATTTAAAAAAAAATATTTTTTCAATATTCCAACAGACGTGGATTTAAAAAAAAATATATATTTTTTCAATATTCCAACAGACGTGGATTTAAAAAAAAATATTTTTTCAATATTCCAATAGACGTGGATTTTTTAAAAAATATTTTTTCAATATTCCAACAGACGTGGATTTTTTAAAAAGAATAATTTTCCATACATCCAATAGAAGTGAATTTTTTAAAAAATAATTTTTCATATATCCAATAGACGTGGATTTTTTAAAAAATAATTTTTCATACATCCAATAGACGTGGATTTTTTAAAAAAATAATTTTTCAATATTCCAAAAGACGTGAAATTTTTAAAATATAATTTTTCAATATTCCAATAGACGTGGATTTTTTAAAAAAATAATTTTTCAATATTCCAAAAGACGTGAAATTTTTAAAAAATATTTTTTCAATATTCCAATAGACGTGGATTTTTTAAAAAATAATTTTTTAAATATTCCAATAGACGTGGATTTTTTAAAAAATAATTTTTTAAATATTCCAAAAGACGTGAAATTTTTAAAAAATATTTTTTCAATATACCAACATACGTGGATTTTTTAAAAAATATTTTTTCAATATACCAACATACGTGGATTTTTTAAAAAATAACTTTTCATTCATCCAATAGACGTGGATTTTTTAAAAAATATTTTTTCAATATTCCAACAGACGTGGATTTTTTAAAAAATATTTTTTCAATATTCCAACAGACGTGGATTTTTTAAAAAATATTTTTTCAATATTCCAACAGACGTGGATTTTTTAAAAAATATTTTTCAATATTCCAACAGACGTGGATTTTTTAAAAAATATTTTTTCAATATTCCAACAGACGTGGATTTTTTAAAAAATATTTTTTCAATATTCCAACAGACGTGGATTTTTTAAAAAATATTTTTTCAATATTCCAACAGACGTGGATTTTTTAAAAACATTATTTTATAAATCCAACAGAAGTGGATTTTTTAAAAAAATAATTTTTCACTATTCCAAAACACGCGGAAAAGTCGTGGATTTTGTTTAAAAAATAGTTTTTCAATATTCCAACAGACGTGGATTTTTAAAAAATTATTTTCTTAGTTTCAACGCACCAGTATGCGCAGCGTATTTTTTCTTACCATATTCAAATTAATGGAACAGTTAACAGTTATGTCATAATCCAATGGTGCCACAAATTTATAACGGCATGATGTCCCTGCTGGATAGTGACTTGGATAATATGGCGATTCCAAATAGGTAGTACCGGGATTTATTTGAAATGTATGATCACAGCCCTCAAACAAAGCCGAAGCAGAGCCAAAGAGCAGGCAGAACACGTTGGTCAAGAGGAAGAAAACTGGAAAAAAGGGAAGGTAAAATAACATTTATGTTCAGGTAGGTCAGTTTGATGAGACAACGACACATATGAGATATGTTACAGATTCTTTTTTTATTTTGAAAATAAAATTCCGAAATCTGTATTGGAGACATTTTTAATACTGTTTTTTACTCACTTTGACAACCCACCATAACTTTTACCATTACGTATTACTAATCCACAAATAATTACCACTTAAAGTTCATTATCCGCTTAACACGGAACACTTTCCCTATCAATTTGCCACCGAAACTATTTCAACTGAAATTGACAAAATTTTAATTTCTTGTACGTGACTCGTAGCTCTGGCTAAATCATGTCTTTGCCCATTCGAAATGTTTGACAACGCGATTCTAGCGGTTGTTTATTAAGCCATCTACTTTCCTGGTCAAAATGAAACGGCGGCGCTGTGAAGATGGCCCCTCTAACAAAAGACAGGCAAACCATTATCGTTTTATGAATATCTAGATATCTTTATAATGGTTGTAAATAAATTATCATTTTTTTTAAGAAATATTTTATCTTATTTTTGAATTTTATGTGTGTGTACATACATACATACATATATGTACGTAAGTGTTGTAAAAATATAAAGCAGGTGCAAGAGAAAATGGATATTATTCATTCATTCATTTTTTCGCTCATATATTTCATAACCAGCCATAAAGGGTTATCAGATAAGCCCATAAATGGATTAATTTTAAGGGGTATGTAAATCGTCATGTGACAGTTCCGAGGTTTAGATTAGAAAAATTAGATGGAGAATTCTGAAAATTGCGAAATATTGGGCATCGTTGATACGGTTACATGTGACCCTGTTAGAAATGTGGAATTAATGAAAAAATTAGAGTTGTATTGTTGATATTTTATTTTTAAATAATTTAATTTTTTAAGACCTCAAGCTCGAAAAAACACTTGTTTCATTAAAAAAATTTATTCCAACCTTACACTTTTATCGCTGCAAGGCCTTTTTAAGTGGATGATAAATTGCTATGAGTTATAATTATAGTAAATATCAGAGGCGAGGTGAATACACGTTTTTTTGGCTGTATATAAGTGTATGCAGACACATTTAGAGGCTTCGAAAAATTTTATTTCCATTATTTTGAGATTGTAAAGCAAAATTACTAGCTGTGGACAAATTTTTGGGGTGTGGTGAATTTCTATAAGGTGTGGTGAATTTTTCAAAAATCTTAAAAATCGTATAAGGAAGGTAGTTTTAACGCTGCGAGGCCATTTTTAAGTAGTCCCACGAAACGTGGATTTTTTAAAAAAATATTTTTCAACGTCCCAACAGACGTGGCTTTTTAAAAAATATTTTTTCAACGTGCCAACAGACGTGGATTTTTTTTAAAAATATTGTTCCAACGTCCCAACAGACGTGGATTTTTTAAAAATATTTTTTCAAAGTCCCAACAGACCTGGATGTTTTAAAAAATATTTTTTTCAACGTCCCAACAGACGTGGCCTTTTTAAAAAATATTTTTTCAACGTCCCACCAAACGTGGATTATTTAAAAAATATTTTTTCAATGTCCCAACAGACGTGGATTTTTTAAAAAAATATTTTTTCATCGCCCCACAGACGTGGATTTTTTAAAAAAATATTTTTTCATCGCCCCACAGACGTGGATTTTTTAAAAATATATATTTTTTCAACTTCCCAACAGACGTGGTTTTTTTTTTAAATATTTTTTCAACATCCCAACAGACGTGGATTTTTTTAAATATTTTTTTAACGTCCCAATAGACGTTAAATTTTTAAAAAATATTTTTTCAACGTCGCAAAATATTTTTTCAACGTCCAACAGACGTGTATTTTTTAAATATTCTAATACAATTTTTAAATATTTTTTTATTGTTCAAATATACGTGTTTTTTTTTAAATATTTGTTCAATATATCTCTAGCGTGGATTTTATGAAAATATTTTTTCAGCGTTCCAACATACGTAGATTTAAAAAAAAACTTTTTTTTAACATTCCCTAAATTTTTTTAAAATATTTGTTTCAATGTTCCTCATAGACGTGAATTTTTTAAAAAATATTTTTATAAATATTTTCTCTGGTTGTTCGACTTTTGGATAGTTAATAAAAACAATTATTTGAGCTTGAGGTCAAACTTTTTGTTTTTTTTAATTATTTATTTTTCTTTTTCCAATATTTCGAAGCTCTTTGAGTTTCATCTTCAGGGTGATCTACAAATTAAATAACAAAACATACAACATTTAACAGGCATTTAACAAAAAGAGATCGTGCAATATGCAAATAATTATCAGTGCAATAGTAACACTTGCCGGTAGTAGTCACACTACGCTAGTTTTAAGTTTATTATTTTAATTATTTGCAAGTAAGCGTTTTTTTTTTACGTGTTTATGTCCTGTGCTGTGATAATGTTAATATGTTGTATGTTTTTTTATTTAATTTGTAGATCACACTGAAGATGAAACTCAAAGAGCTTCGAAATATTGGAAAAAGAAAAATAAATAATTAAAAAAACCAAAAAGTTTGACCTCAAGCTCAAATAATTGTTTTTATTAAAAATATTTTTATTTAAGTTACAACAGGCTTGGATTTTTTTTAAATATTTTTTTTTTTTCAATTTTCCTATAGACGTGGATTTTTTAAATATTTTTTTTTCAGTTTTTCTATAGACGTGGATTTTTTAATTTTTTGCTCAATTTTTTATTTTCCCTCACACTTGAACTGTTAAAAAAATATTTCTTCATATTTCCATAAACGGAAATCTTACAAAAAATAATTTTTCAAAATCCCTATTAATGTGCATATTTTGAAATATTTTTTAAAGTCCCAACAGACGTGGATTTTTTTAAAATATTTTTTCAATGTCCCAACAGACATGGATTTTTTAAAAAATATTTTTTCAACGTCCCAACGGACGTAGATTTTTTAAAAAATATTTTTTCGATGTCCCAACAGACATGGATTTTTTATAAAATATTGTTTTTAACATCTCAACAGATTTTTTGGATTTGGATTTTTTAAAAAATATTTTTTCAACGTCCCAACAGACGTGGATTTTTTAAAAATATTTTTTCAACGTCCCAACAGACGTGGATTTTTTAAAAATATTTTTTCAACATCCCAACAGACGTTGATTCTTTAAAAAATATTTTTTCAACGTCCCAACAGACGTGGATTTTTTAAAAATATTTTTTCAACATCCCAACAGACGTGGATTCTTTAAAAAATATTTTTTCAACGTCCCAACAGGCGTGGATTTCTAAAAAAATTCGGATTTTTTTAAAAATATTTTTTCAAATTTCCAAAAGACATGGATTTTTTAAAAAATATTTTATCAAATTTCCAACAGTCGTGGATTTTTTAAAAAATATTTTTTCAAATTTCCAACAGACGTGGATTTTTTAAAAAATATTTTTTCAAATTTCCAACAGACGTGGATTTTTTAAAAAAATATTTTTTTAAATTTCCAAGAGACGTGGATTTTTTAAAAAAATATTTTTTTAACGTCCCAACAGACGTGGATTTTTTAAATTTTTTTTGCTTGTTTTTTTTATTTTCCCTCACTATTGAACTGTTAAAAAAATATTTTTTTATGTTCCTATAAACGGAAATCTGACAAAAAATTATTTTTCAAAATTCCTATTAATGTGCATATTTTGAAATAATTTTTTCAACGTCGCAACAGACGTGGATTTTTTAAAAAATATTTTTCCAACATCCCAACAGACGTGGATTTTTTTAAAAAATATTTTTTTCATCGTCCCAAAAGACGTGGATTTTTTAAAAAATATTTTTTCAACGTCCCAACAGACGTGGATTTTTTAAAAAATATTTTTTCAACGTCCCAACAGACGTGGATTTTTTTAAAAAATATTTTTTCAACATCGCAATAGACGTGGATTTTTTTTAAAAAATATTTTTTCATCGTTCCAACAGACGTGGATTTTTTTTTAAATATTTTTTCAACGTCCCAGCAGACGTGAATTGTTTTAAAACAATATTTTTTCAACGTTCCAGCAGACGTGGATTTTTTAAAAAATATTTTATCAACGTCCCAACAGACGTGGATTCTTTAAAAAATATTTTTTCAACTTCCCAACAGACGTGGATTTTTTAAAAATATTTTTTCAACATCCCAACAGACGTGGATTTTTTAAAAATATTTTTTCAACGTCCCAGCAGACGTGGATTTTTTAAAAGATATTTTTCCAACGCCCCAACAGACGTGGATTTTTTAAAAAATATTTTTTCAACGTCGCAATTGACGTGGATTTTTTAAAAGATATTTTTCCAACGCCCCAACAGACGTGGATTTTTTAAAAAATATTTTTTCAACGTCGCAATAGACGTGGATTTTTTCAAATTATTTTTTCAACGTCCAAACAGACGTGGATTTTTTTAAAAAATATTTTTTCAACGTCCCAACAGACGTGGATTTTTTTAAAAAAATATTTTTTCAAATTCGTTTCAAGGGATCTGAGATTATCCCAATTTGTTTCAAACTCTCCGCATGGTAACATTATTATTAAACTTATTTCGAGTTCGGAGTTGAATAATATCGGTTCACTTGTACCCCTCATACAAAAGGTCAAAATTTTCACAGAAAATAATTTGCCTAATAGATTTTTGAATTTTGCGTACACTTTGCAAATCCCAGCATTTTTATCAGTTCTACGTCAGATGCAAAAAATTACAATATCGGGCCACTCAATCTGTACCTCCCCCAAAAAGAGGACGAAATTTTGAATAATCATAACTCTAATAAAATGTGAAATAAGAATCCTATTATCTTCAAATGTTTCATATCTTAATATTTATTCTAACTCCAGATCTGGTATGAAGGACGAATGGAACGGATCTTTCCTTCTGATACCTGCCCCAAAAAGGGTCACAAATTTAGAATATCCATGGAGCTCATTAAACGAAAAACTAGAATCCAATAACTTTGAAACTCGGCACATCTCAATATTTGTATCAACATGGGATAGGGTGGGAATGTGGGATATATCGGTACCTCCCCCACAGGGGTCAAAATTTTGAATAATTGTATCTTTCAAAAAATGTGAAATAAGTATTTGAATGTATTTAAATTTCGTATATCTCAATATTTTCATCAAGACAAGATATATCGGTGAATTTATTCTGGTACCTCCCTCACAAAGGGGTCAAAAATTAAAATAAATATAAAGCTCGATTACTTTCAAACTTAGCATATCCCAATATTTCTATCAACATAGGATCAGGTGGGAATGGGGGATATATCGGACCTCTCCTTCTGGTACCTCCCCCACAAAGGGGTCAAATTTTTAAATAATTGTATCTCTCATAAAATCTAAAATAAGTTTTCAATGGTGTGCAAATTTTGCACTTGCCAATAATTCTAACAACTGAAGGTTTGGTGCGAATATAGGATATATTGGTCCACTCCTTCTGGTACCAGAAAGAGGTTTAAATTGTAAAAAGGCACTCGGTTCTCTTCAAATTTTCCAAACATATTTCAAAATTTTCAAAAAAAAGAAGAAAAGGAACACACACACACGCACACTTTTCATAAAAAGTGAATAAAGTACTCGATATAGTCCAAATCTGCACTTTGTATGTATTTCAGCTACAAAATGGACACCATTGGCCCACTCCTGTGGAACCCCTCTCACCATGGTCCACATTTTGCTATTTTTTCTAATTTTGTTTTTTTTTTGTCACCGAATTGTTGTTATCTTCTTTATTTATTTATATAAATATCCTTGTAATATTCAAATTCTAAATTTATTGATTTTTTACGTTATTTTCAATTCTTTTATTTTTGCATTTTTTTGTTCACCGAATTATTTTTATTATTATCATTATAATTATTATTATTGTTATTTTTTAGTTTTACTATTATTATTTTAATCATTACAATTATTGCATTTCTTGAATATTTCCAATTTTTCAAATCAATTTCTTATTATTTCATTTTATTATAGTTTTTCTAAAATTTTATAATTTTTTCTTTTTCACACACAACAAAAATTATGCACCACTTTTAAATACACTCAATTTACCATTTAATGACGACCGCATTTGTCTTAAACCCGACGACCACATCTTGTCAAATGACAATTGTTTTGAAAACTTGGCCGTTGTTTTAATAGACAATTTTTTGATCCAAATATATAAATATGTTTTTTGTTTTTATTTTATTTTTTTTTATTTCACTTCATTTGATTTCCATTTTATTCACTTCATTTTCTTTCTAATTATCAAATATTTGTTTTAATTAGCTGTACTCGTGCTGGTGTGGCTGAGTGTGTGTGTGTGCGTGAGTGTGACATCAAGAGATGTCAATATGCGTAAAGAGATATAGGTTTTATGGAAAACAACCTTAGACTAACTGGCACACAATAGAGGGTATTTGGGGTTTTAAGGGGGGAAAATGAAGAAGAAGATTTTTGATATTTTGTTATGACATGCAGATCAACAGATGTGACAGTTATATTGTTTAAAGAAAATAACCATATATACACTCAAGGAAATCACGTTTGTTGAAAGAAGGATTAAGAGGCTTTTCTAGGAAAAAATGTATGGGCCTGGTAAACAAAAAAGAAAATACTTTCAGAGAAATTTAGGCAGATGGAAAGAGATTTTTTATAATTTTATTTTTTAATTTGTAATGGATGTGATTTTTTTTTTAAATTTAGATGGACTTGGATATTTAAAAATTTTTGATTGACGTAAATTTTTTAAAAATATTTTTTTTTCTGATTTTCGATAAACAAATATTTCAAAAAAAATATTTTTTCTTATTTTCGATTGACATGGTTTTTTTAAATATTTTTTTTTCTAATTTTCGATAGGCGTAGATTTTATACCCTCCGCCATAATATGGAGAATACATTAATTAATTTAATTATTAATTATTCATTATATTAATTATTTGCCGGAATTGTTTCAACCCTAGGCCAGAAAATTGTCTGTGCAGGACCACGTCTTCGTATAGCCTCCATATAACTGTACCTCCAGATATTCAGTGTTTTCATGATTTTGATTATGCATGTCCACGTCGTCGTATAGACCCAAATATAACGGCTACATTCGGCATTTTTAAGATTTTAACAGATTTAATTTTTTTGAAAATTTGCCAAATTCGTTCCAAATGGTGGATGGTATTAAAAGTTCGGTCCGGCCAAACTTACAGTTTTTTCAATTGTTTTAAATTAGTTTATTTTTTAATTTTCGATAGACGTGGATTTATTTTAATTTTTTTTTTAATTTTCGTTAGAAGCAGATATTTTTTTGTATAATTTTCAATAGAAGTGGATTTTTGTTTTTTTTTTAAATTCTATAAAATATTTTTTTCTAAATTCCAAAAGACATTAATTTTTTAAAATATATTTTTTTTAAATCCAACAAACGTGTTTTTTAAAAAAAATCTAATTTTAGATAGACGTGGATTTAAAAAAGTTGATTTTTTTAAATTTAGTTTTTCTAATTTTCGATATACGTGGATGTTCATTAAATTATTTTTTACAAATTCCAAAAAAGTGTATTTTTGAAAATATTTTTTTTAAATTTCAATAGATGTGGATATTTGTAAAATTATTTTTTTCTAAACTCCGAAAGACGTGAATTGTTTAAAAGTATTTTTTTCTAAATTCCAAAGGACCCTGAAATTGTTTTTTTTTAATTTCAATAGATGTGGATTTCTTTTTAAATATAATTTCTAAACATCAAAAAAACTCAGTTTTTATTTTTTTTTAAATTTTAATAGAAGTGGATTTTTTAAATTTCAAAAAATCCAATTCTAGATTTTTTTTGTTAAATATTTTTATTTTTAAACATTTTAAAAATTATTATTAATTTCAATATTTTATAAATATTTTGATATTATTTAAATTTATTTTTAAATTTGAATTTTTTTTAAAAAATATTTGTTTCTAAATTCCCAAAAAGTAGATTTTTAAAAATATATTTTTTTTTAAATTTCAATAGATGTGGATTTTTGTAAAATTATTTTTTTCTAAATTCCAAAAGACGTGAATTTTTTAAAGCTTTTGGATTTCTTTTTTAATTTCATTTTCTAATTTTCAATAGACTTGAATTTTAAAAATAATTGTTCTAAATTCTAATAAACGTTCGTTTTTGTAATAAATATTTTTAGAACAGTGTGGCTTTTTTGTTCGGGATACCGTAGTATTTTGTTGTTGCAAAATGGTCAGGCTTTATCCCTTTTTTGTTGTTTTTATAAAAACAACGTTTGTTTATTAGTGGAGAACGATGGTAATGTTTACCAGGGGGTAAGGCAGGGAATACCTAGGTTTCGGAAAGAGCCACCAATCAACAAAAGTGGATTTTTAAAAAAATATTTTTTTTTTAAATTAATAAAAAAATAAATATTTTGTCTTAATTGTTAAATAGTTGAAAATAATATTTTATATAAAAAAAATAATAGACGTGTTTTTTTTTATGTTTTGTTTTAATTTCCAATGGACGTATTTTTTTAGAAATAATTCTTCTAATTTTCATAGAAGTTTTTTTAAATATTTTTTTTCTAAATTTCAACAGATTTGGATTAAAAAAACTATTATTTTATTTTATTTATTTTAGAAGTTTTTTTAATCAATTTTTTTCTAAATTTCAAAAGACTTGGATTTAAAAAAATGTATTTTTTTCTTCGAGTGTATGCCATTATAATAATTTACTATCTCAATGGCACTATCTCATCCGCTGCACAACTGTTGTCAAACAAAATAACGACACATAAATAAAACTTTTACTTTTCATTAAATATAAGTCTTCTAATTCCGAATACCACGAATCATAATTAAGTCATTAGCACTCTCTCAGAGTGGGGGGAAATAATAAAAACGACACAAAAAATCTGCAAATTAGTTGATTAAGATTTTATTACAAAATCCATTGTTTTCCACTCAGCACCTCGGCGATGAAGTGTCAATATTGACACTTGGCTGGTAAAGGTGTCTTGTATATTTTGTTGTCGTTGTTGTTTCATTTTATCTTCTTTCAAAATTAGCTGCAAAACATTTAGGAAATACATTTGAAGCGGTGCTTTTTTTCTTCATTTCAGTATTGCTTTAATTCCTGCAATTGTTGCTGTTGTTTGTTCTCGTGGCCAAAACAATTGTTCAAACAGGCAATCAGTAATGTCGTACTTACATTGTATTTTACTTACATTAGCATTTCAGGAGGAGGGCGTGGGGTAAAGGGTGCAGGGGGAATATTGCACCACAGAGTTTTTTTTTTAATTTTTTGAAATACCAACAATATTGAAACTCCACCGATAAACCCGTCACAAACGCCCGTACATTTACATTATGTCGCTATGGTATTGACCCAATATATGGTGAGTATTGAAAATACTGCTGGCTATTGAACTTGACAAAGAATTTATATTTTGTTGGTTTTTATGTTCTTGGAGTATTTTCTGTTGCATCGGGTAATAAAAGATATTTCTAGATATTTGTTAATGGGTTTTGAAATTTCGTTGTCGTGAAAAAGAGATTTCCAATAGAAGTCGTGACATTGTGTGAAAGGTATGGCAATAGGGAGGTAGAAGAAATGAGGGTTTTCAAATAAAACCTAATTTTTTTGAGAGATTTAAAACAATTGGGAATATTGATAAAATCCGGTACGAAAAATAAAATTATTTTTTTTTTTATTTTTTCATATCTTTTTATTTTTATATCTTTTTTATATCTTCATATACCCAATAGACGTTGACTTTTAGAAAATTTAATTTTTCTAATTTTATCTAAAAATCTGATTAAATTTTTCTATAGAAATTCCTTAACCCCTCAGAAAATCTATAGGGAGTCGCTGACCTCTCAGCTCGCGTATAGAGGCTCCCTGACTTCTCAACTAGCGGCTCGTTGATCTTTCAGTTCCACTACAGAGGCTGCTGACCCCTTAGATCGTCTATAGAGAACCTCTGTAGCCTCAGTTCGTCTATAGAGACTCGCTGGCCTCTCAGCTCATCTGTAGAGGCTTGCTGGCCCCTCAACTCGTCTATAGAGGCTTGCTAGATTTTTTAAAGAATTTTTCAAACCTCCTTCAAGGCGTGGATTTTTTAAAGAATTTTTCAATCCTCCTTCAAGGCATTTCATTTTAAAGAATTTTTCAAAACTCTTTCAAGGCGTGGATTTATTTAAGAATTTTTCAAAACTCCTTCAAGGCGTGGATTTTTTAAAGAATTTTTCAAAACTCCTTCAAGGCGTGGATTTTTTAAAGAATTTTTCAATCCTTCTTCAAGGCGTGGATTTTTTAAAGAATTTTTCAAAACTTCTTCAAGACGTGGATTTTTTAAAGAATTTTTCAAAACTCCTTCAAGGCGTGGATTTTTTAAAGAATTTTTCAAAACTCCTTCAAGGCGTGGATTTTTTAAAGAATTTTTCAAAACTCCTTCAAGGCGTGGATTTTTAAAGAATTTTTCAAAACTCCTTCAAGGCGTGGATTTTTTAAAGAATTTTTCAAAACTCCTTCAAGGCGTGGATTTTTTAAAGAATTTTTCAAAACTCCTTCAAGGCGTGGATTTTTTAAAGAATTTTTCAAAACTCCTTCAAGGCGTGGATTTTTTAAAGAATTTTTCAAAACTCCTTCAAGGCGTGGATTTTTTAAAGAATTTTTCAAAACTCCTTCAAGGCGTGGATTTTTTAAAGAATTTTTCAAAACTCCTTCAAGGCGTGGATTTTTTAAAGAATTTTTCAAAACTCCTTCAAGGCGTGGATTTTTTAAAGAATTTTTCAAAACTCCTTCAAGGCGTGGATTTTTTTTTAAGAAATTTTCAATCCTCCTTCAAGGCTTGAATTTTTTTAAAGAATTTTTCTATCCTCCTTCAAGGCTTGGATTTTTTAAAGAATTTTTCAAAACTCCTTCAAGGCTTGGATTTTTTAAAGAATTTTTCCATCCTCCTTCAAGGCGTGGATTTTTTAAAGAATTTTTCAAAACTCCTTCAAGGCGTGGATTTTTTAAAGAATTTTTCAAAACTCCTTCAAGGCGTGGATTTTTTAAAGAATTTTTCAAAACTCCTTCAAGGCGTGGATTTTTAAAGAATTTTTCAAAACTCCTTCAAGGCGTGGATTTTTTAAAGAATTTTTCAAAACTCCTTCAAGGCGTGGATTTTTTAAAGAATTTTTCAATCCTCCTTCAAGGCGTGGATTTTTTAAAGAATTTTTCAATCCTCCTTCAAGGCGTGTATT